TTCTCTGTGGTCCCAGCACACCCTGGCTTGTTTTCTACGAGCGCAGACTCCTATCCATCCCGCTAAGCCCCATGTGAAAAACCCGTGAACCACAGAGAACAACCTCTCCTTTGTATCCCGGCAGGCCCTGGCCTGCTTTTGATGATCCCGGACTCCTAGGCATCCCGCAAAGCCCCATCTGAAAACCCCTGGGCTACAGAGGGCGGCCTCTACGCCGTGGTCTCAGCGCACGCTGGCCTGCTTTCTATGATCACAGACTCCTAGGCGTCCTGCAAAGCCCCATCTGAAAACCCCTGGGCCACAGGGGACAGCCTCTATCCTGTATCCCAGCGTGCCCTGGCCTGTTTTCTACGATCCCGGACTCCTATACATCCCGCAAAGCCCCATCAGAAAAACCCCTGGACCACAGGGGACAGCCTCTATCCTGTATCCCAGCGCGCCCTGGCCTGTTTCCTACGATCCCGGACTCCTATACATCCCGCAAAGCCCCATCAGAAAAACCCCTGGACCACAGGGGACAGCCTCTCCCTTGTATCCCAGCCGCACCCTGCTCGCTTTCTACCATCCCGGACTCCAAAATGTCCCATGGCCTCCCCGCTGGGCCTCACCCCCTGGCCTCCCGGGTTCCATGTGACAAACTGGGCGATGGGTCCCCTCGTCTGTCACCCTGTCCCCGGCCACCCGCCCCGCGTCACCGCCCGTGCTTCTAGTCGCACGCACGGGCTTTGGGGCTCCGCCTCTGCAACTGAGGCGCGAGGGAGACCCAGGGCCTCCCTGCCGGGCCTCCACAGCCCAGAGAGGCGGCCGTGACCCCACAGGGCCCGGGTCCTGCGGACGGACGGGCCCCGGGTGTGGACGCGACACGGCGGGGCGTGTCCAGGCCGGGCCCGGGTGACCCCACCCCCCCCAGGCTGCGCGGCCTCCCCCAGCCTCGCCGGCCTCACCTCGGACGCGTTGACGCGGCCCTCCAGGAAGGCGCAGTCGGCGGCGTTGTGCGTGCACA